AGAAATATTACCGAATGTTTAATTCAAAATGAAAATATGCCAAAAATATGACAAAATTGAAAAAATATGAGAAAATGTTACAAATCCAATATTTTCATCTTTAGAGAGATATTTTTGTGTGATTTTTTAGACGCTTTTTCTTTCCTAAAAAGAGGCCATTCTGAATTAATGAGAACTGTCGAGATCAGTTCAGCCGTTCTCGACATATAAGAGATCTTTCAAGCATATCTTCTTTGATAGACATATATATCGCACATATTTTGCTATATATCCGATTTTTTGGATGTTAACATCAATGTAAAGGTCAGAAGTAACCTTGTCATGGCTTTGTGATTTCGACGGGATTTAAAATATTCACGGTTTAATGAAAAATGTTGAATTTTTTCAACACAAAAAATATTGTCTATTTTACCCGTTAAATATTATCCGATGACCACCCAAATTGGTAGGCTTCTTCCCCGCACTAAACTCTAGCTACATGCGAAATTCCGCGTCTATAATTGCGACCTGTATAGCTACTGCAAAATCCGACATTTTTTCAGTATTTGGTCCATTTCACCCATGGTAGAAGAATATAGGTAGATGCATCAACGCTTGGGAACATTGATATGTCAAAAATTTTAAAATATTTTATGAAAAATAAGTGGATTTTTAAATGTTTTTTTATACGGCGCGAATCAGAGATTGTTATAGTATGAATTTTTCAACAATTTTTACAAATTTTAATATTTTTTCATTCAAAGTTTTCAATTCCAAAATTGGTTTGACAGTTCATTGTCCCAGCACCTGTGTCGATGCGACTACCTGTATTCTTCTACCATGATTTCACCCCTAAACATTTGGCGATCATCTCCAAAAGAAATAGGCTTCTATTCTGACCCTAACCCCACCTTCGTGCAAAATTTCGTAAGGATCGGGCCATAATTGCGACCTGTAGCGTGTTTACAAAATAACATGGACAGACGGACGGACGGACATACATAGCTAGATCGACTCAGCTCGGCGAGCTAAGAAGATCCATATATACTTTCCTATGTGGGAAACCAATATTTCGAGGTGTTACATAAATTCTGGCCCAATCAAACTTATAATACCCCCAACACATAGTGTTGTAGGGTATAAAAATGGTAAAATTTAAAGATTCTTGTATGTAAATAAACAATGCTACTTTGTGCGCTCCTATGTGTTGTGTTCTATAAAAATGTGAAATGAAAACTTTTACAAAGGAAGGAAATGTCAAATGAAAATATTTTCATTACAAATGTTCATAAAACGGCAAGAAGCCCCTGCACTCAATAGCAAAATAATGTAAAAACGGCCTATGAAGCAAAATGAATAGTAACCCTGAAATACTGTTGTAAATGTCATATCTAATACTCAAACCTACACCGCAGACACAAACAATTAACAGTTTACACGCCACGTATTTATACGGTATTACCGGAGGAAAAGGTTATTTTTCCCCCTCAGATGTCGCCTCAATTGCTTTGCACACTTAGACCAAAAGATTGTGAACAAAATGCATTTGGCCTATTATGGTTTTGATGAGCCAATAGGCGCCCGACGACATGACACAAATGCATTAGAAAAAACAAGTAAAAAAGCTGTAAGTTCGGCCGGGCCGAACTTTTAATACCCTCCACCATACGGTACAAATTTGGCAATTTCCAAAAAACAAAAAAATAAATAAATAAAATAAAATCCGTTCGAAATTCTGTTAAAATCTTAAAAATACCGAATGCCTATACGACGACGTGGACCTGCATAGACAACTTTTGTCATAAGTTATTACAATATTTAAATGCGAAACTTGAAGAAAAATCTAATTATAATGTAGCTAATATCATCAAAATACTGAATATGGGGGTGCCGTTATATGGAGGCTATACGAAGACGTGGACCTGCACAGACAATTTTCTGGCATGGGCTGAAGTATCCATTACGGACTTCACACGCGAAATTTGAAACAATCCCGGTAAATAATGTCGCTAAAATCATCAAAATACCGAATATTGGGGGTATATGGGAGCTATACGAAGACGTGGACCTACATGGCCCATTTCCTGTTTTATGCTGAAGATTCTATTACGAACTTCAAATACAAAATTTGGAACGATTCCGTTAAATAATGTCGCTAAAATCATCAAAATACCGAATATCGGGGGGTACCGTTATATGGGGGCTATACGAAGACGTGGACCTTCACAGATAATTTTCTGTCTTAGGCTGTAGTATCCATTACGAACTTCAATTGCCAAATTTGAAACAATTCCGGTGAATAATGTCGCTAAAATCATCAAAATACCGAATCTCGGGAGGTACATTATTAGGAAAAAATAGAGCGAAATGTAAGAAGAATTCTGAATCATGAATGAACAATATACAAAACAGAACGACGAGAATTCGAAAATGTTTTCTTATTTTACAACTGAGTTTATTGAATTAAAGAGAAAGATTTGGACCTTCAAAACCGTATGTTAAGTAAGCCCTATTTCTACTTTTATTAAATTCTTAAATTGTTTAGCTACGGCGTTTAAAAAAAATCATCCCCATGATAATGCAAAGACATTTATAAACATATGAATATTTAAAATTTGTTTTTCAAACTAACGAGTTCATTACAACGTTTTCCTGGCACAATATGTACCAAAATACAAGAATATGTACTTTATTAGGTTCCTTAAAGGTTTGTATCTTAGTGTTTTAAACTATTTGATAATGTAGATCTTTTTTATTTCATTTTAATTATTTAGTTGCGGCATTGGAACACATTCCGGGAACAATGGAAGTACCATAGAAACACAAATTAAACATTTGTCAACTCGGCTAAAGATCTACTTAACAAAGGGCTACAATTTAAACGAAAAGAATGTATTTAAATTCTTTTAGAATTCATATGAAAGACTTTAATATACACTGAATTATAACTTTTTATGTTTTTTTATATTTTAATTTCCTTATTCCTTATATCGTACAAAAACAAAAAGGCAGAATAAAAATTAACTATAATTAAATTGAACAAGTTGAAAAGCAGTAAGTTCGGCCGGGCCGAACTTTGAATAACCTCCACCATTTGGAACGAATTTGGAAATAAAGTCCTGGCAAAACTCTGTTAAAATTTTAAAAATACCGAATATTGCCGTTATATTGGTGCCTATACGACGTGGACCCACACAGGCATTATTTGTCATAAGTCATTACCAAATTCAAATTCGGAACTTGAAATAAACGGTGTATAATAAAATCATAAAATATAGAATATAGGGAGGTACCGTTATATCGAAGCTGTGCGAAGACCTGAACCATGCGTAGACAATTTTTTATCATAGGCTGTAGCATCCATTACGAACTTCAAATACCAAATTTGAAACAATTTCGGTGAATAATGTCGCTAAAATCCGAATATCGGGAGGTACCGTTATATGGGGGCTATATGAAAACGTGGACCTTTTAGCCTCGTATCTCAATTCGTTCGAAAGATAGCGTGAGTACAACAGACAGACAGACGGACGGACATCGACTAAATCTAAACTAAATCGACTTAGAATTTTACGCTGATCAAGAATATATATACTTTGTTGGGTCTGACATGAGTATTTCGAGGAGTTACAAACGGAATAACAAAGTTATGTATAAACAATTATTTAATAAAAATAGATCACGTTTTAGTACTTCAGAAAAACCATCCAAAAATATTAAAGTTTTTTGATAATTTTCCGATTTTCGAATGAATTAACTTAAATTCTTCCCGATTTTCGGATAAAACTATTGAATAAATTCAAATTTTTTGCCGAATTTCGTATCAATCATCACAAAATCTTGCGAATTTCGTATCAAACATCCTATAATTCTCCGAATTTTTCTTTAGCAAATTCTATACAAATTTCAATTTTTTTTCAGAAAAATCTTTCAGAATCTTGGGAAATCTCACACAATTTTTGTTCGAGTTCGTTCTGAATTCGACATCAAAGTCGAAAACTTGTGCAGAGTTTTTTTCCGAATTCGGAGAAAAAGTATTAGCTGGGTACCATAATAAAGAGGTGAGGGTGTGGGTTCTTCAGCAAAGTAAGCTTGAAAATTAATCCTAAAGACCATGAAAGGGTGGTCAAGTGCGGGAGGAGAAACACCAACTCTACTTGTCTAAGTAGGTGTTGTCTTTGTTTAGTAATGTGAAAAGTTAAAATTACGTGTTCGCGGTTGAGAACCAGAGCCCGGCATTTCTCTCAAAGTCCCTAGTATACAAGTGTAAAGTTTGTCTCAGATAGTGGGATGTCAATCAATTTCTTTTATTTTCTTTACACAACTCATTTTTTCCCTTTTGAATTTGCTTCTTGTTGTTATACAAGGCAATTTTTGATTTGTCCAAGATCTACAAGAATGTAAACCTTTTTACTAACATAACCGATTTTCACTATATGAGACCCGTAGATTCTTGCAGTTTCTAGAATAGAGCATTGGTTTTATATCATTGTCTTTTCTTATATTGTTATTTATTGATCTGTTCCATGGTAGAAAAATACAGGTAGTCGAATCGACACAGCTGCTGGGACAATGAACTGTCAAACCGATTTTGATATTGAAAATCGTGAATGAAAAATTATTGAAATTTGTAAAAAATGTTGAAAAATGCATATCATTACAACGTCTACCTATATTTTTCTACCATAGTCTGTTGCAAAGCCTGCAAGAATCTGCAGTTCTGAGATATATCATATATTTTTGCATTAAAAAATCAATTTTCAAAAAGGGGTTTATAATGGAAAGAGGTAAGAGCATTTAACTCACAAATCCCATTCATACAAAAGACTCTCATCTCCACTGTAATGTCATCCCTCTATTTTCGGACAATGTAAATGTGCTATTATTTACACGAATTAATCGATATATCGATATTATTTCGATTTTTATTGTCAGTTCCGTTATGTACCACATTCTCTTGTTGCTCTTTTGCTCTCTGTTTTTAGCCTATCTCACAGTCTCTTCTTAGCTCCGCTTTGACCCTCATTCTTATTTTGGCCGTAGAACGAACAACAGCGACCAGCGCGAGTGAACAAAAATTAAAAACAACAACAACAATGTCATTTACAATTACATACCAACATCCATTACACAGATGAAATTGCAATATTTATTTTGTTTTTGACATCAAAAAGCAAAAAAAAGTCAAATTGGAAAACAAAACACACTGTGTGTGTGAGAGAAAAAAAACGACGTGAAAAAATTATAATTATGCAAAACAAATTGTGTTTGTGCAAATGTTTCGAGAACAAAAACACATGCGAGGAAAAGATTCGTTGTTGAAAATTTTTGTGAAATTGTGAAAAGAAACCTCGAAACAATTATATTGGATGTCAATGTGCTCTCATATTGGTTCGGTTCGTGGCCACATAATGCATACTGAGTAGAAACGCAGAAGAGGAGCCACAGTGCACATTTGGTGTGAAGGTGTCAATGAAAAAAGAAATTGTGTGCAAAAATTTCCGGGGCAACATCTTTCGAAACCAAACGACGATCATTGTAAATTTTTTCTTCGACTGCAATTACATAACTTGTGTTCTTTTTTCTAATTCGCATGAAAAAAATTACAAAATTTGCAGATCTCATCAACAATTCGATTTTGTTCATTTTTGTGTTTTTTGTCGGGTGCTCAAAAACGGTTTTGTGGTGGCGAAAAACCCTACCCCATCATCCAGCTCTTGTGTAATAACATTGAATTCTGATCGCAAAAGGAGAATTGTGACAATCGTAATCGAAAATAACAAGCAATCAAAACAAATTTAATGCAATTGGATTCGTCCCTCCCATGTAATTGGGAGTAAATTGATTTTCGGTTACTGTTGCCTCTGGCTCATTAATCGACCGTGATTTAGCAAAAAACGACGACACACGTACATACATTTTTACTTCCTCGTTGTCGCCTCCCCAGCCGAACCTTCTCCAACGTTATAAGTGAATGACAGTGTTTGGCTGCTGTTATCAAAAGAGGGTTACTGCGTATTTTCAGATAAAAACAAAACAACAAAAACAATCGTAACTCTTAACGTGTGCCGCCTAAAAAAATAACAACAACTACATTTTGGGCTTCCAAGCCAGGCAATTAACTTGTGACAGATAAAAACAAACAGCAGAGTAGTAGATTGCAATTTTGCCGTCGTCTATTTTGATTTCTTGTTATCGTAGCTGAAATTATTCCATCTTCTCAAGAAGATAAAGTGTCGTTTTAAAAATAAAAACAAAAACAACCTCAACACCACTAGAGTGCAAAAACAGAGCCCCCAACACAGCCACACCATAATAACTCAAATTTTTACCGGTTTTTTACAGTGTGTTTTGATTGCACATTCTTCTTCATCCCCATTCGTTGGTTTGTGTCGTTTCATTCGTTCTATATTTGTTGTGTGCGCAAAGAAGAAAAACAGCCGGTCGTCAGTCGTGCTTTTGTTTTCGATTTTGTTTTGCTAGTTGAAAACATAATAAAAATATTACGCATACCATCACCCAAAGTTAAAGTGCAAACCTACTCACACATATATATACGAACGCTCGCTAACGCATTCAATTTTGATAGTTCTTCGTTGTGCTTACTCGAAAGGAATTCTAAAATAGTAATAATAACTTTTGGAATTTTCATTTGGTGCTGGAATTTCGTTTTTCATAATCTTTGATAATGTCCCAAGGACAAAAGGATACCATCATACATTTGGTTGCTGGCGGGTAAGTAAACGAGAAAAATGAAGTAAATAATAATTTCAAAGTTTTGTGAAATAATTTACATGTTTCAACTTTCTTTCGGTTTAGTAAAATCTCAGAATTTTCCTAACAAATCAAATAATAGGTCATCTGATGTTGTTATGGTAACAGGAAGTTATATCGGTTTTTGGACTCGAAGAATTAATAAAACCCCCCAAAATATAAAAGTGGGCCTATTTTGGAAAATAATAAAAAGTACTGCAAAATATAACCATTCCAAAATGGTGATATAAACACAACAACACAGTTCACTGTTATACTGATTTGGGGAAAATATTCTGCAAAAATAATAAAATTTAAGTTCGCTGAACCGGTGTTGGGCACATGTCAGAGAGGACAATTTCAAAAACTGGCCAATGTCTTGCTATTTAAAAATAGTATGAAATTTAGAAAACTTTTGTTCCCTTAGCGCATGTTTGACAAATCACAGTGAAGAAAATAGCAAGTCATATTTTTTTTTAATATGTATATCACATAAAGAAGGGATTTGGTTTAGTTAGCTGGAGTTGGATATATCCCACTAAGAGAAGACCGACCTACTAGAGAATAAGTTATACAGGGTGAGATGGAAAAACTGCAACTAACTTTAGACCTCTGTCATTTCTAAGCCACTCGTCCGACAGCTGTTAATATTATTCCAGTGACAGCTTATTATATTGTTTACAAGCGTGCAAAAGCATTGTGAGAGTTTTTGAGAATTTTCCAGAAAATAAGTTATTCATCATGGAATTCAAGCGTGATAGTGTGATTTCTTTATATTTGACTGGAAAATAAACAAGTGGCTATCGTTAGAGCACTCCCTGTATGGTTTTTGCTTTTATAATTTCCCTCTTTGTAGACAATGTATTGTAGTCATGGCTCTATGCAAAAGTGGTGCAATTCCCATTCTCTATTTCAGTTTAATTAATATGACATTTTTTTTTTCAATTTTATCTTCAGATTTACACCAACTTGTGCAATTTGAGTGTTGTAAAAGTGAATTTCTAGAATGTCATGCCCTTTAGTTGTCTCATTTGAACAAAGGTATTATGTAAACAACATTTCTATTTAGATAATATGATATTATGTTTTCGTTTTACCTATGATAGTTGCACTTTATTGAGACACATTCTTATCTGTAGTTGTTTACTTTATGTGGCAATATTATAAATATTTACATTGAGAGATTAAGATAACATGACATATTAATCCTAAGGGAATTGAAATATTAACATTAAATAAATACATTCTAGCACAAAATAACACATAGAAAAAGGTAAATAAAGTGAACTGAGATAAGACAATTGTTTTTGGATTTTTTTTTTATTTAAAATAGTATCAAGTGTTGCAACGATAAGACGGATGGGAAAATATGAAACAGGGTAGCCAGTTTTGAAACTTTAATGGGTCCTGTGGCAATCTATATCTATAAAAGAGGAAAATGTTTGTTTGTTTTTAATTTTTGGACTCGAAAACCGCTGTACAGATTTTCCTGAACATTTCCAAGTATTTTACAACGTCGCATGAAAGTAACATAGGCTATATAAATTTTTGAAATTCCACTTGGAACTGGAGATATAGCAGCAGAATCGGAGGTACCTCCCAAAAATTTAGATTTTATTTGCACATATCTTGTCATCGATTACAGATACAGTCTCCAAATTTGGAATGCGTAACGGAATTTAAAACGAACATACATCTGCCAAATTATATAGAAATCGGTTCAGATTTGGATATAGCTCAAATATATATTTTCGGACGATTCCATGTATTTGAAGCATTAAACACGCTGTGTACGCCAAATTTGTCTAAAAAACTTACCAAATTATAATTATTATTATATAATTTGGATATAGCTCCCATATATATTTTCGACCGATTTCATTTATTTGATGCAAACACGATATCTATGTTCGATTCCAATGAAATTCAGTATGAGTGACTAAATTTGGTACAAAAATAAATTTGCAAATTAAATTTAAATCGGTTTAGATTTTTATATGGCTCCAATATATATTTTCGACCGATTTCGTTTATTCCATGCACCAAACACTATATGTATGTTCGATTCCAATGAAATTTGGAATGAGTGACGGGATTTCATCAGAAAATAAATTTGACAAATTATATTCAAATCGGAACTGATTTGGATGCAGCTCCCATATACATTAGAGGCCGATTTCACATATTTGAAATTCAGCAAATCGGTTCGACAAATGCGGACAGTGAGACGAAATTTGTTACCAAAAAAGATTTGCCAAATTATATTGAAAAATATTGCACAAAACACGATATGTATCTCCGATTCCAATGAAATTCAGAATGTGTGGCTGAATTTTGTTATAATAATAAAATTGGCAAAATAATTATAAATCGGGAAAGATTTGGATATAGCTCCCATACATATATATTCTCGGCCGATTTCACATATTTGATGTACGAAACACGGTATATACCAAGGCTAGGCAAAGAGTATCCCTTGGGATATCTGTGTGTTCACCAACACAACTGTAAAAAATAAATTGTTTTGAATTTTCTGTCAAATTGGTTTTGGGAGAATATTTAGTTTTATTCGAGCAGTCGATGAGGAAAGTGCTGTCGGATATTTTTATGAATACACCGTAAGAAATATTGGAGCACTATATATCTTACTACATATTCGGAACAAATATTTCCGAATTTGTAAAAATTATAAATTTTAATATTTATCTTTTTTAATTGAATTCTATTTGACAAAATTTGCATACGAATTCACATGTTGGAATAGAAATTCATTTCATATTGTTAGACAAATTTATTGTGCTTTTTTAAATTAATGGACATTTTCATATCCCTTGATTTCTCTGAAATGACATGTATTATTACTTTTTAAAGGGTCAACATAGATGGTTAGGATTTTAAGTCCAGAATTATTAAACACATATAACATCAAAATTATATAAAATTTATGAAAATGTCAACTTATAAAGTTTTTTTTTTATTTTAAATGAATCATAATTGACTGCAAAAACTGTGCAAATATATCTCCGAATTGTCTGATCAAAATATTAATTTTTACCATCGCAGTTGTTTTGAAAATAGAAAATTTTAAATTGAAAATTTAAAATTTAAAGATACCAATTATTTCTCACTCTGTAAAGAGAGGCAAAAAAACACTTTCAATATTTTGTTATTTCAAAACACATACAATCACAAAAAATTTTTTAGGCTCTCTGCCTAGCCCTGGTATATACCATGGTACAATGATATCAAGGTAGGGCTATGATACCATATGATTTTAATTTTTTTATTTTCTTGGCCTAATATGTCATCTTTATTTGTTTATGTATTTGTTTTATTTTCAATAACAAAAAAATTGTTCAGAAAAAATTCAAATTCGGGTGTTTTCAAAATGTTCATTTCAACGCATGCATCGACAAAATCTAGAGTTTTTGTAGCGAAATAATCCTTTAGAGATATATAGTACATGATTTTGAAAAGAAGTGTTGACCTTTCATTCAGTTATCGCGGTTTTCAATTATTTATTCAAAACAAATGCAACAAGTTGTTTGATTTTTTATTGTTTTGATACTAATTCTGACATTACAAGCCAAACAGGTAGACCTCTATACTTGCAATTTTTTCAAAGTTGACCTATCTTCTCTTCATTGTACCATGGTATATACCTCCAATTTCAAAGAAAAATTGGAAGATGTGACTGAATTTGGTGTAAAATGAATTTTGTCAAATTATATACAAATCGATTTAGATTAGAATTGATTTTTTTAAGAAGCATTGACCGACAACGCCTTTGCAATGGTATTAGGCAAACAGTAAAAAACTACACAACAATTTAATTGAGGGTACGATTGTTACGGGGAAATATATTGCTTCCTCGAAGTCTCTAATTACAACAGAAATGTCACTCATCTTCAAAAGATTGCAGTTTACTGGACGCTTGGCATTTGCTATGAAATTAATAAATCCGAAAGACAAACCCTTCGTGTTGCGGACTAAATTTGACATGTTCCTGCTTTTCTCATGATCAGCGCATTAAAGTATGACAATAATTATGTTTTTTAAATTCTTGATTTTTTTTTATATTTTTTAAATCAGTACATCCAATAGTTTCCCAGACTCAGTATTGTATCCCATATGAGTTAGTTGAAAAAATTTACAGAAAAAATGAAGAAGAATATATACACTGGTGGCCAAAACTAAAGCAACTTAAATCGCAAAGACAATAAATGTCCTGTAACTTTTACAAAAATGAACAAATCGTAATTATTTTTCCAGTTTTAAATGAGGAATTTAATTCACTTTCAAGAAACTAAAAATAAAAATACAAAAATAATTTTGTACGAAAATAATATTTGGAAAACTAAAATGACCCAATTTTTGCTTGGTCAAAACTAAAGCAACTTTTGATTTTTTATTTTAAAATAATTAAATTTTGGCTAGTAGTCGATAGCATAACCATTATTTTTGATAGCAGCTGCACACCTACGAGGCATTGAATCTATAACACGCTCAATTTGATCATTGGGTGTGCTTTCCCAGGCACCCCGAATTCTTTAGAAAATGTTGTGCTTATTTATTTCCGAATCTCTCTTGATCTTCCTATCTACGATACTCCAAAGGTTTTCTAAGGAGTTTAGGTCAGGTGATTGTGCCGGTCTTAACAAAACATGATTTTTTGACTCCCGCAACCAATATTTGACAAGTTTTGATACAAGTTTGGGATCATTGTCAAGCTGAAACACCCAAATCAGCCGAATATTTTACTCAGCGTAAGTGAACAACGTGATGTCCAACACATCTTTGTAAACAAACCGATCCACAACTTCCTTTATTTCATGGATAGGCCCAAGTTCATAGAAAGAAAAATAGCGCCACGCCATTTTTGACCCTCCCCCATGCTTCACTGTACCTTTGCAACACTGCGGCTTGAGTCCTTCATTTTTTGGTCTTCTCGCCGTAAAATTTTTCACGTCTGAGCCTTTAAT